TAGACACCCTGTCGCTTTAAAAAAAAAAAAAGCGATTGTGTTTCGCAAACAACAGATCGGGTTTCTAAAAGCTATTTCTTCCCCCCGCCCCCGCCACCCCCTCCGGGGTTTGCAGAGAGGGGAACCTTGGTTGGGGGTGCGAATAAAGGTGGGGAGCAAAGAGGCTCCCAGAGTCGACTGAGATCTGGCCAGATCAGAGGAGAAATGGGAAGCCCCGAGGGCACCCAGCGGGCTTCGCAGACGAGTTTTGGAGCAGAACGAGCCGGTCGGTGACCCGATGGAGACCCAGCCCGGGGAGCTTCGCCGTGGCTGTCCCGCGCGCTTGCCCTAGCGCTTCATTCATTCGTTTTGTTTTAAAGGCCCTGGCGGCAGATCCCTTGGCCGCGCGGGAGGGAAGGGGGAGGAGAGCGCTGTCTCGGTTTAAAAGACATTTACACTGGACTGGACCGAGGCCCTGGGAGGTGTGCGCTGGAGGGAACAGCCGGGCCGCCGAGGGCGGGGAGGCGGCGCGAATGTGACCTCAGCGGCGGGCGCGCGCTCCTCCCGCCCTCTCCCGCTCCGAGCTCGGGTTTCTAGGACTGCCTGGAGAAGTGTGTCTTGTGCGCAGCTCTGGAATGCATTTGGCTGGTTGACGAGCTGCGAGGGGCAGCATCCAGGCGAGAGAAGGGGAGCGGGAGGGGCTCGCACGCCTGCCGCCGCCAGGTTTCCTCTGGAGCCCGGAAGACCTCAGTCACCCCGCCTCCCGGCGCGGGAAGGTTACCTTTGGAGCAGACCTGCCCAGGACATGCATATGCATGCGGGGCTGTTTCTGCGCCCTCTTTGGCCCGGTAGCTTTCAAGGTGCTTAGGGTCAGAGAGTTTATGCCCTGACTCCAGGTCTGGGGGAAGCCTAGACCCGCTGACAGATGACTGCATGGAAACCGGTAAAGCATTGGTAGGGCAGAGGACCAGAAGCGTTTAGTTTGTGAAAGCAGATGGTACTGAGAAACGTACTGATTTAAATATATAGGCATCGGTATTAACGAGGCCACTAGTTGGCATGGTGATCTAACCTCACATCTTATTTCATGAAATACGATTTTTTTTTCATGTCATTTAGAATTGTGAGATCAGGAGGACAATGAAACTGATTGGGGAGTTGAAGGGATCTTTAGAAAAGGTGAGATGTACTATTTCCATTTTCCCAGCTAAATTACACATTCATAAAAGGAAAAGGCACAAATGACTCTTTGCGTTATAGCTCAGCCCCACTCTCCTCCAGCAATTTACAGATGTCTGACATGCAATAGATGCTCAATAAATATATAGGAAACAACATAGTGGATAGGACTTAAAGGGCCATTTGGACCTCACCCCAAACCCACCCAAAGCACCTTTGGAGATATAAATAATAGAGAAAATCAGGAACACTGATTACATAATCATCTCCAAGCAAGGGGGTCCCGACTACCCGGAGATGACAAGTGCAGAAACATTGTAGCATGGGAAAGAAGCTGGCATTCTACACTGAGTGGCCAGATTATTATGACCACCCCATCAGTAAAATGAAGTAAATTAGTTATGCAAATAATAATAATAATAATAATAAAACCTTGAGTATTTGCTTAGGAAGTTTTCAATATTCAGTATTTTTGCAAGTGTCAATGAAGTACTGATGGGGTGGTCATAATAATCTGGCCATCCAGTGTATACATTACTTTGTAAGGCCACATAGGCAGCACTTGTATAAGTTCATAATTTTGTAATAAAAATGTTGCTTATGGAAAAGACACTGTGTGTGTGTGTGTGTGTGTGTGTGTGTAACTTTCTAAAGAAGCAACCTGCCAAGGCAGCAGCCTGGAAAGCCCAGGAGAAAAACAGAAAAATGGATGAGGGAAAGGTTTAGATGTGGGTGATTCCATCAGCATAGGCAGGAAAAGACAGAAGAGACATACATGAGATTTTCGAGGTGTCTGAGAAATGTATAACCTTAGAAAAGCTGAGAAAAAAAATACCAGATTGGAAGTCAGAAAACCTGATTCCTGGCTAGGGCCCTGCCACTCACTGGTTAAATAACTTGCACTGGTGGTGATCGTCACATCAGGGGAGCAGTTGGCAGGGTTTTAGAAGCTTTCTGGGCAAGTTTCCTGCTCTCGGGGTCCCATTCCTCTCTCTGCTCGGGCCTCCCTAGAAGATCTTCACTCTTCAAGAGAGGCAAGGCGAGGCTCTCGAAGTGACAGAAAGGACTTAAACTGAAAAGCAAATGTCATCACTCAAAGTAAGCTTCGGATTGTGGAGAATCTGAACGTTTGGAAAGCTGGCCAATGGTGCTAACACTCTGTCAGGAGAGGCCAGGCACACACAGGGCAGGGAGGGGTAGTGGGTGTTTCAGGAGTTGAATCTGACGTCACAG